GTCAAAAAGCCCATTTGAGATGACATGGGGGAACGATGGTTGTGGTCCAAGGCTCAGAATCCTTTTGTGTGAGGAATTACACTCAGAGCAGAAACTCTGAGGGTTCTGTTCTCCTCTCTGGTGCTCGGCCACAGCTCCCAGCAAATCTGGGAGAGGAATTGCACCTTGGGTGATAAATACCTCCTTTTATTTCCTTGTACTGTACATTCCGTTCTGAAAAGGGGAGCTGCGAGCATTTGGTGTGAGCTCCTTTTGCAAGATCACAGGTTCTGCTAGAATGGACGGATCCTTGGGGAAAGACACTGAAAGGGCCTGTTTGCAGAGCAGGCATGTGAGAGGGAGCGCTGGCACACAGCTTTGGGCTCAGATCTGTTGTCCCAGAGAGCTGCATCTCCCCAGAGGAGCAGCAAACCAAGAGGAGAAGGGGACACTGTTTTTGCACAACATCTCGATTTGTAACAGCAAGCCCAGGCTGTAACAACCAGTTTTCCTTTGGAAATTACTTGTTGCCTCTGAATTTAATCATGGGGCAAGGCCCCTGCCCTGGCAGTGCCTCCCTGCCTGGGGGCAGAAACTCAAGGTGAAGAGCAGCGAGGTGCTCACGGTAGCTGATGGACTATTTATCTACTAATAACTGTGTCTGTTGCTGACTCCATGAACCACATCCAACAGCATCTATTCCTGTGCCCGAGGAGCCCTGACGGAGCACATTTTGATTAATAAATTATCCGGAGCAAGGTGTGTGATGGGTTCCCCTTTCACATCTCGTGAAAGTCACACGCTCCAAGTTCAGCCCTGGCTCCCAGCGTGAGCAGCCCAATTATCCTGCCCTGGGAAAACAGCTGGCCCTGACTGACAGGTGGCTCTTCACCAGAGCAGGGCAGTGGCTGCATCTCTCCCTTGAAAGGTGCTCAGGGCCGAAGGGGTAGGGAGGAAGGAGGAGATATTGATGGTGTGGTTTTTTCCCTCTTTTTTTTCCCCTTTTTCTTCCAGCCCACCCTCCTTTCTCTGGGTTTGAGCCAGTGCTTTTAACAGCCTTTTTAAACTGAGAGCTTGGCTGAGGGCAATTAAACATTATGGCTCTCATCTATAAAACCCCTCGTTATAGCAGCGTTTCTCCAAAATGATGCCTATGCCACCATCCGTTCCTCAATGAGCTTGGAAAAACACTCTGAATGGGCTCCTGTGATCCATCCCAGTGCCCCCAAGGCAGCATCCCCCCAGTGCCTGCCTTCCCAGGCCCCTGAATGGCTGCAGTGCATGCAGGAGCTGCTGCTGCCCCTGTACCTGCACACAGACAGATGGGTGAGAAACTCCTCCTTCTTCTTGACCCGTGTCATAACAAAAACCTGGGTTTGTAGGTCCTGAGCAAGCCTGTTCTTTGCCAGGTGGGAGCAACAAGTCTGCCAGAAGTAGATTCATACTGCTGTCCCGGAGTTCTCAATATTTTTTCTCATTGTCATTCTCCCCTTTCCCTCTGTCTTTCTGATATTTAAAACATTTCCCGCCTTGTTTTTCTTCTCTCTCTCTCCCCATTTTGCTGTTCAGCCTTTCCTTTCCCATCCTTTAATTCCTGCCACATTCCTGTGTGTGTACCTCTGGAGAGAGGGAAAGACAAAAATTGGCAAATTTCTCCCCACCTTATTTTTTTTCCCCTTTGTTCTCTGGAAAGTGAAGGCACATGAAGATGATCAGAGAGATTTTGGCAAGGAAAATGTCTCAGGAAATGGGCATTGTTCAGCAGTGTGAGTGTCAGTGTGAGTGCTTCAGCAGGGATCACTGGTCAGAGCAGCGAGGAAGTGGTGGTTGGAGAGGCTTTGGGGGACACTTCTGTCCCTAAATTTGCTAATCTGCAAAGCCAGGAACTCTCTGCTAGCAGAAAGGACGCCCCATTGTGCACAGGGTGAATGTTGGGGAGGATGAGCTAGAGAAGAGCCTCTGACGGGCAGCCTGGGAGGCCTTTGGGCCCCCAGTTTAGTTGCCCGTCCTTCAAAAAGCACCATGGTCCAATCTGAAACACATAACCCCTTTTTAGGACAGGTAGCACAGCGCTGTGTTTAGTCAAATTCCTCCCCTACTGGCCTAATTCCACTGAATTCCATTGTTTCTGCATTTTATTACACTTGATATCAGGGGGAGGTGACCCTGAGGCACAAACTTTGCCATGGCAACCTGGTGTCCTGGAGCATTGAAATGCCTGGCAGCACAGTCCCATCCATCTCCTGGCGCGTCCTTCAAAGCTGGGAGCAGGGGAAGCTTCCCAAGGAGTCAGCCATAAATTACAGCAGGAAGGTGGGAAGCCAGGATGGAAAGAGGGGAGGAGACTGGAGATCTTCATGTTCAGCAGCAAAAGATCAGGAAAAAAACACACAAGGCCATTGCTAATATTTTAAGTAGCCTGCTGAGCTCATTAAGCTCAGTGGGGCATTTGGGATGGAGAGAAGGGTGGAGCAAGGACAGGAATGGGGGGAATTCTGTCCAGGAGGAAGATAGAATGGGGAGAAAGGTGTCAAGGCACTTGGGGCTCTGGGAGAGAGAGGAGAGGCCCAGGGCAGCTCCTGGATGGGAGGGAGGGGATGGCCAGACCTGGAGGCTTTGGGCCGTCCCGAGGACGTAGCCCCACATTTCCCTTCACAGAGAAAAGCAAGGCACAATTCTTCCCAAGAATGTTTCTGGGATTCACATTCTCTGAACATCAGAGAAAGGAAAAAACAAATTCTCATCACTTGCTGTGCCTGTGTTTGTGCAAAAGTGGAATGCAATATGGAGATTGTTTATCCGAAGTGAGGATGCTTTGTTTCGGCCAAGTGTGTGTGTGTGTGTGTGTGTGTGTGTGTGTGTGTGTGTTGGGATTGTTGGGTGACAGTCACAAGATTCAGAGCAGTGTGAGCAGGGTTGAGTGCTTGGCAGGTCCAGTTTAGGATGTATAGAATAATAAAGGATAATAAAGTCATTAATTAGCCTTCTGCTATCCATGGAGTCCTCCTCACCATTCCTCCTTTGTCAGTGCCCTCGCAGCATTGTTGTGATCACAGCTGTGATCCAACAGAGGTTGGAAGGGAGCAAGGTGGATGCTGAGTGATGGGAAACAACTTTCTGTGGCAGCAGATCTGTCTTGCAGCTCCCTTCCAGGGAAATGACAAATGCTGTGTGTGTTTCATTCGTGCTGAGATGTATTGAGGAGACAGGATTTATTTTTTACTTCCTTTTGACTGGGATGACTGGAATTTACCTGCAGGGTTTCCTGGCTCCTGTCTGTGTCTGTTCAGGGGTTTCTGCATGCCTCAGGATGCTGAGGGGAGCTGTGTGGGTGACCATATGCCTGGATATATAACCTCCCTGGGCATCACTAATTCAGCAGCCTGCTCTGCTTTTGTGTCAGGCTGGTGTCGGGTGTCCCAGGCTCCACACACCAACTGCTGGCTTTTGTCTGGCTCACAGGGAGAGCACCTGGAGCTGCCACAGGCACGTTCCCAAGCAGGACATTGTCCTTTTGGTGTCTGCTGGCCATGACACTCGAGCATTATCGTTGGTTGGGGTCTCTGTACAAATCACAAACAGGACGGGGCTGCTGGGAACGTGCCTTGAGCTGTTTGATTTTCCCTCATCAGTCTCATTACATGCTTATGACAATGAGAAGATGTTATCAGCTCACATCCCCAGCAGCAGACCAAGAACTCAATGTTAAAACTCACTTTAAAAGGTTTTAGACCAGTCACACAAAGCAAAAGCACATTGACAGTGGTTCAATCCAACCACCATAAGCACACGTACCTTTGGTTAAAACAATGCTTGCTTATTTCAAACAAAATGCCTGCTTAGAAGCCTTCAAACACAATGCACAGAGCTCCATTATTAAGATTAGAACTTCCTAATATCTTGCTAGATAAACTTTTCTGTAGCTTAGGGAGTTATTCTAGACAAGCGGTAATACACAGACAATCGTTCTATTTGTCCTTACTTTTCTACTTTTTACATAATTTTTCTGCTGACCAATCTCATGGCTGCTGCTTAGCTCCAATCACAGTTCTGCTGTCTCTGAGGCCTGCCTTTTGCAGCTTTCCCAAAACCCCCTGATTTTATGGATTCCCACAGAACATATTGTCTTAATCCCCTCTGAGTGTCCAATTCCTGAGGAAATCCAAGCTGCAGATGGGATGGGATGGGATGGGATGGGATGGGATGGGATGGGATGGGATGGGATGGGATGGGATGCTCAGTGGCATCCTGGCTCCTTGCCTGCATGCAGGGACAGGCACAGGGGCCAAATTTTGCTCCACCAGAGGAAAACCAGGCAGCTGCAAAAGGTCAACATATACGGCAAGGGCACAAAAGCAGGGCAAGTGCCCACACTATTTTGCTGATACTTTCACTGGCTTCTAATACACCCAGCTAAGAAATTCCTGAGCTGTGTGAGGCTTCTCTATTACTTGATAGAATTTTTTTTCTTTCTTTAAGCTCTGCAGCCTCTCCTTGAGTACATTTGGACTTGTATCCCCCTCAGCACCCTCTGGCAAGCTACACCACCCCCTGTTTGTGCAGAATTCCTCATGAGCTTGGTCCATCTGTGCCTCCCTGTGATTATCCTGGACTGATGTCCCATAACCCCTGGATTTTAGGAGAGAGGCCATGCCCACCCCAGGAACACAGTACCCTGCAAATGCAAGTGCTCACTCAGAGGGGAGCAGCGGGATTTGGTCCTGCTTTCAGCTTTGCTGCCGCAGATTTTAATAATATAAACCCTTTGAAATTCCTCAGCTGCCTCCAGCATTGGCAGCTTTTGGCTGTGGAAGGAGAGCCCCATTTTGAGCCCTGAGCTGGGACAGGTGAGAGGAGGAGGGGAGTGTTACAGCCATGACATTTCAAAGCATGTTGGAACACTGTGCCAGGTTCCTGTGTCCGTATCTTGGAGTTTGTGTCCTCTTGCTCCCCTCGCTGTTGCCTCCAGCACTGTTTTGTGTGCCAGCTGCTTGTGCTCACATTCCTGTTGTTTTTCTCAGGTAACACCAACAGCATCTTTGCACTGGACTACATCAGTGGAGCCTTGACCCTGAATGGGCCCCTGGACAGGGAAAATCCCTTCTACACCGCTGGGTTCATCCTCACAGTGAAGGTGAGACTGCTCCAGCTGGGGAGCACGTGGACAGGGTAGGATGGGGAGGACATCCTGCTGGGGACACCCCCTTCCAGCTAGTGGCCGGTGGGACCTGGGTTGTGTTGTTCTCTTGGGCATCCAGAGCCACGATGTGCTGACCAAGTGAGATGTTAAACACGGTCTGTCACTGTAGGATGTGAAATACCACCACACACACACTGCTGCTCTCAAGGTGGAAAAAGGGAAGTTTATTTTCTGACTCTAACATTTATAGATTTCCAAAAGTGACAGTGGATTGGAGGGTGACAGTGCCACCTCTCCAATGACACTGGACAAACCAACAGTCCATCAAATTTTTGCTCCTCCAAATGAATGCAAAACAATTAGTTATATACAGAAAGTGTGCGAGAAAGTTCATTATAATCGTGTAAACATCAGAAGGCTTAGAAAAACTTAAAAAATTAGGGCAACAACAGTCCCCTTGTCTGGTGGCCCAAAACTTGATGATTGAGGGCATTTTTGCCATTCTACCTGTGGCTGTGCCTGCTGGCAGCATGCAGATACCCCAGGCTTGCATATAGGACCAGACACATGCTCAGGAACCTGAATAGTTCCTACTTTTGCCTGTTTTCCCTCTTTCTCCCCACCAAAGCCCTGGATAAACAGGACATTTTGCCTTGTCAACAGGCAGTGGTGTAACAGGGCATCATCTGTGCCTTCCTGGCATGGGGAGGGAGGGATGCTGGAAGTTGCCTTGTCAAGAAAAGGCAATGGAGCGTGGCTTTCCAGCCCCTCCAGCCCCACCTGAGAGTGACTCCCTGGCTCTGCACACAGCCCTGTAATTAAAATCAATACCAAGCTGGGCAGCTGGTTGGAAGCACATTTAGAAGTATGGATTCTGCTGGGCTGGGGTGGGGAAAAATCAGCAGCGTAGGAAGGGTCATTGATTGGGAGGGAGGGAGGCAGCACATTGCCTTCTTGTTTTGGCAAGTGTGATGCTTCCTTGGAGGGGGGCAGAGGGACAAGAAATCACCCCTCTAGGTCCCAGACACAGTTCACACCGTGAGGCTTTGTGTGTGTGAGGAGGAGATCCTCACCCACCCCTGGTATGGCTTCATTCAGGCTTTTATAGTTTCAAAAATCAAGAGAGGAAAGATTGTCTGGTTTTAATAGGGACAAAAATATCTGTTTCATCTTGGAAAGGTTTGTGAGCCTGAAAACTTGCCCGATTCTCTGCCTGCATGACAATGGAGTTCCAGCCACGTTCTGTTGCTCTGACAGATTTCCATGTCCTCTCCCCACCAACTTCGCGTCCTCCCGCAAATGCCAGCTCTGTGCATCCCGCATCCCCAGCACCCAAAATGTTCCCTGCTGCTCTCATCCTGGAGCACACAGTGAAAATACAGCTGGGCTGCTCCTCGCTGGGATCAGCCTGTTCTGCTGCTGTGTGCAGAAGCAGTGAATAGCAATGAGCCGTGTGGGTCGTGAGAGCGTTGCTTTTCCCTGCCCACAGCAAAGCAAGATTATCCAGAGGACAAGAGGAGGGACTCGCCTTGAAAAGGCTGTTCCATGAGTCCTGCTTCTCTGGCATTAAAATCTGCACTCTCTTCTTGGGAAGGCAGAATCAAAGTCCTTCTTGAGACAGAGGTGTGATGTGGACTCATGACTCAGCTCTGTATTTAGGCACGTGTTGCCAAACCTATTTTAAGGTCTAAGTCTTCTTTTCCTCTGGTGCCCTAGTTTTCCATCCCTGTGTTTTTCAGCATACTGAGAGGTTCACTGGCAGCTCCTAGTCCCACATCAGGGATAGCAGAGGAGAGAGCAGGAGTACTCTTTGCCCCTTAGTTTGTGGACTGTCCCCTACATCTCACAAAAGACATTTTTTGTGTTTTAACGCTTGTGGCAGGGAAATCTCCTGTTCTTGTGCGACTCCAGATCCTGTCAACCTGTTGCAGGAGAACTTGGCCATAGCCATCCTGAGGGAAATGTTAAACCCCTGGGAAGGTTTTTGTGAGACTAAAGCATGAGTGATGGGAAAGCTGCTCCAACATCTCTATGTCTTAATGGAACAATAGCAGAGCCAATTGGGAATCCTTCCGTGGCAAAGTGGAGGAAGGGAAAGCTGCAAGAGTGTCTCACTGTGCACGCTGTCTTTGCACTCATTCCTTCTGGAGAGCAAAGGCCGCCCTGTTTTGTGTCCTTGCAGGGCACAGAGCTGAACGATGACCGCACGCCCTCCAACGCCAGCGTCACCACCACCTTCAACATCCTGGTCATCGACGTCAACGACAACGCCCCCGAGTTCAACAGCTCCGAGTACAGCGTGGCCATCACAGAGCTGGCCCAGGTGGGCTTCGCCCTGCCCCTCTACATCCAGGTGCAGGACAAGGATGAGGTGAGCTTTCCTCTCCCTCCTCTGCGGGGTAGCACTGGTTGGGTTTCGGGGTGGGCAGGGGAGAAGTCACTGCACGGTTCTGTCCCAACATCCCCTTTTCCATCTCTCACTGCTGCTATTGCTCTGCTTGCTGTGTACCAGAGCCCAGTTTCCCTCCCCAGTGTGCAGGCACGAATGCAGTCAGGATTGCAGGGCCCCTGAGAGCCAGAAAATAGGATTGTCTGGGCGGCTGATCCCTGCCTGCTGCTGAGGGCTCTGTCAGGCACTGCTTTGCCAGTCTGGTTTAGCAAAGCAGGAGTTTTCCTGGGAGAGGGAGGACAGGAGCCCCAGGCTAAGTCGGGGAGGATGTGGGAGATGCCCCTGGGAGTGGGCAGGACTGGGATGCCAGTTCATCACTGCAAACAAGGCAGGAGCTTTGGAGCCTCGCTGATCCCACGTGTCAGCGGAGCTCCTGCTTGTCACGCGCCGATCCGTGCCGTGCTTGGGACTGCAGCCTCTGTTCCAGTCCTGGGCTCCCAGCCCTCAATTACTCTGATTTTCTGACTTGTGCACCTCACGTCTGGCTGCTCCTGCGTGCTGGTTCCCCCCCAGCCCCGCCACGCTGCCTGCTCCAAAGCAGTGCTGACACCTCATGGTGAGCTGTCCAAAACTCTCGGGGCTGAGCAGGAGGTGAGGGCAGAGGGTTTGTCACAATAAATGCCATCATAAATGGGTTGGGTTGGATTGGAAGGGACCTGAAAGATCAGCTCGTTCCAACAGGCAGGGACAGCTTCCACTAGAGAGGTGGCTCAGAGCTCCATCCAGCATCGTGGCAAAGCATCACCAGGATGTGTTCCTGATGCTTCAGGTAATGGGAAACAAAACATCCCCCCTGCCAAGCCCCCAAAATCCTGGTGGGTCAGGTAAATGTGCATGTTTCAAGTTGCCTTTTCTGGCTGAGCAGATGTATTTGCCATTCCCCAGCCCTGGGTGGAGCTCACCCCGCCTCGTCAAGCCACCCAGAAATCCCATTTTTTTCCATCTGAAGTGATTATGACACAGAACTAATAACTTACTGGTGACATGATGTCACCACGCAGGAGTTATGAGTTCAGCCTGAAGAGGTGCAGATGAGCTATTAAGCAGATAAAGAGACTGTTTTTTCTTGAAAATGTCAATTGCTAATAAAGAAGATATGGATATGACAGATGCTTAGGATAGTTTCTGAATAGAGCTGCTGTCGTGCTTGCTGAGAGATGTCAGCAGATCCATTCTTGAAGGGCATTGTAACACTTCTGTTTGTGCCACCAGGATGAAGGATCTGTCATTATTTCTGGTTAAAAGCTCATTTTACTGGAGTGACTCCCATTCAAGAATTCACTTTTCAGCCTTGCTAATTTTAAAATGGGAGAATAAAAAATAGCCTCGCCTTCCCCATCGCACCAGCAAAAAATACACGCTGTTCTTTTGATGTATTTCTTTCACTTCCTGAGATTTCCCCAAAAGAATTAGCTGAGATTTTCAAAACTGCTGAGAGAGGATCTCTTGTGCTGAGGGAGTCTGAAGGAGTTTTACTGTACACGTCTTCAGAGACCATCATATTAACACAGATTGCTTTGACCGTGGCATTATTTTCACTGATAAGAAGCAGAGGAGAGCTGATTCTTGGAATATCTGGAGGGGGGAAAGTTATAAGCAATTGGTTACCTTTTTTTCCCTGCATTATCCTGTGATGGATCTTCCTTATTTCCTCTCATGGATGCTTGCAACTGGGTTAACCATCAAGGTAGCACTTTGGGGGGGAAAAAAGGGAGAAGATGCCCAGCTTATGAAAAAGATGTGCATGAGATAGAAGTAGGACTGCACCTGCAGGCAGCGCTGCTTCCCAGGGAAGTATTTGTGGAGCCCTGAAGACCCACCAAGTTTCAGTGAAAAAAACTACAGAAAGGTTCTGTAGCTGCCTGGCAGAGATGTTTTGGATGCTCAAGCGCCCCGTGAGAGCTGTGAGGGGTTTACAAACCATCTGGCTTGGAGGTGGCTGAGGTGGCACCAGGCTCTCTCTTCTCTCTGTGGGTGGAGGGATGCGTTGGCAGGGACCAAGAACTTCAGGCAGGGATGGCGCTGAGGACGGGGCTGACAGGAGCTGTTCTGGCAGCACTGGCTCCACGCTGCAGATGACACAACTCATTTGTGTGAGGGGCAGAGGGAAACCAGGAGAGAGTTGTACACACCTCCAGGGAAAGCAGAGAGAGAAATAAATGAGAGCAGATGGGTTGAGACGCGGGAAATCAGAACCGGCGTCTTTGAGAAGATCGCTTTGCTCGAGTGTGTCTCCTGCCCCCACCTTATGTCACAGAGTCCTGGGAGATTCCCTTGGCACATTGGGTTATTTCCTGAGCCCCTCTGGAAAATTCAGGCATTGCTCCTTTAGCCCTCCAGCTGGCTGAGGGAGCAGCCTGGACTGTGCCCCGTGCAGGGGTCCCGTGGGTCTGAGTGGTTTTTCTCCTGTCATTGTGCCTTTGTGGAGCTGGGGAAAGGGCTGTCACATGGGTCTGGCCTTTAACACGCACCGTGTGGGCTGCCAAGGCTGTTAAACAAGGCTTTTCAAAGCCAGGCCCACACAGCCTTTGTTAACCATGGGGGTTTTGGCCTTTCTTTCTTCCGGTGTGTTTTGCACAAACCGAAATGATGGCTTTTGGAAGGAGTCAGATTAAACCATTCAGCAAAGCACTTAAAAATGCATTTCTGAGGCACACAAGACCACACTTGAAAGCCTATGCCTGGCTTTCCCTCTGTGCTCTAAGTGCCTTTCTGCAGCTCAGCTAGCATTAACCTCTCAGACAAGGTTCCCAAGCGAGTGTCTCCAAGGAGAGGCCCTTCCTCAGAGCCCAGCCCCTGCAGAACCCCACATTTCACCCCAAATGTAGCCATGGTCTGGGGGCTGTGAGGTGGGATGGGGAGCTCCTCAAGAGGAGGCAACTGAGCTGAGCTGAGTTGGCCCCACAGATGGATTTGGAGTGTTCAGCCAGGTGTGCTGTTTTTCCTTTCTGCATTCTCCAGGATTTACTGAGAGGGAAATGAGTACACAGGGTTTGCACAAGGTTTTTGATTCAGCCTTCTTGAGCAACCTCTCTTGTGGAAGGTGTCCCTGCCCATGGGCTGGAATGAGCTGAGCTTTATGATCCCTTCCAGCCCAAACCATTCCAGGGTTCTGTGAGCCAAAATAAAAGCACTATCTGCTATGCAGCTGAGCTTCTCTCCCTGCCACACAGAGAGCAGACCCTTGAACAGCTTTCCCAAGCCATTCAAGAGCTGCTTAGGAAAATCCATTGAGGTTTCCCAGTGTTCAGGCTGAGCCTGCACTCAACTGGACACCCCCAGGCTGTGGTTGGGTTCTCCTCACTCACATTGTGGTGGTTCAGCAGGGTGGCTCTCGTAAATGCTGTGTATGAGGCAGAAGATTAAAGCACTGACTTATCTGCTTTTACAGCAAGGGTTGTTTCCAGGCTGAGAGCAAGAGTCCTGAGCTCTGGGACAGGTTGGTGTTAACTCAGAGGGGTCATCTGCTGCTGGGCTGGAATTTGGGAGATGTGGATGCTGATTTGGGAGACAAAGATGTCCTTTTTGGATATGCTGGTGGCTTGATACAGTATCAGAGGGAGAAGGCAAGGGTTTGGCCATCCAGGAAAAGGAGCAGGGCATCCTTTCGGGCATCCCCCATTTCCATGGATTCCTGTTAAAGGAAGCAGCATCCTGCTCTGCCAGGGCATGTCAGGGAAACCAGCTCTGCATGGTTGAGTGAAGAGGAAGAAAAGGGCAGAAGCTATTCTGCCTATTCTATTCCATTCTATTCTATTCCATTCTATTCTATTCTATTCTATTCTATTCTATTCTATTCTACTGTATTCTACCTATTCTCATCTGCTGCTGGGCTGGAATTTGGGATACATGGATGCTGATTTGGGAGACATGGGTGTTCTTTTTGATATGCTGGTGTTCCATACCTGGTGGCCTGATGCAGTATCACAGGGAGAAGGCAAGGGTTTGGCCATTCAGGAAAAGGAGCAGGGCATCCTTTGGGGCATCCTCCATTTCCATGGATTCCTGTTAAGGGAAGCAGCAGCCTGGTCTTCCAGGGCATGCCAGGGAAACCAGCTCTGCATGGTTGAGTGAAGAGGAAGAAAAGGGCAGAAGCTGTCTGAAGCACCACCACGATGGCCTGACATTTTAAAATCATTTTGAAACAATTCTCTAAAATAAGCATATCGAGGAAGGTAAATGGGGAATTTTAAATAAGGAAAATCTGGGCTGTGGGAATACGCTCTCTTTGTTGCACTGAGCTCCACCAGAGACCCCCACCAGGATATCCTGTGTGCCCATGAGTGTGCAGGTGGCAATATATGATTCATCCAGAGCATATATATGCATATGACAGGCACAAGCACTATAAATATGATCTACATGGCAAGGAACTGTAAAGGGGAATTGACGGCACACGAGTATTCTCTCCCCAAAGTGCCAGCTGCCAGTTCGGGCTGAATTAGATTTCACAGGGGTTTTTGCAATACACGGAATTCACCAGCAAATTACCCTTAAAGAGGGAAAATCAATCATTTGGAGCAGAGATAAGCTGAAGGCGAGGCAGCCTCGGATTGATCCCCGTCTGTGCAGGCGTGTGTGGAATTCAGCAGATAACCTGGGGAGAGCAGGGAAGGAGAAAACTCCTCCATGAGGGAGGGAGCAGGCATGGGCTGACACTTAGGAGGGACAAAAAGATGGGAGAATAGGGCTGCTGGCATGGAGAGGGGGATCAGAAGGGTTGGGGAGCATCTTGCTCCAGGCATCCTGCATTGCCTGCCAGCCCAGTGAGATCCTTAGGGATGCAGGGCACAAATGCCAGTGCCCAGTGAGCTCTCAGAAGTGTTATTGGCACAGGGTGGGACAGGGGTGCTGGCATCTCAAGCTGGCTGGGCACTGGGAGAGAGGCAGGCAGCACCCAGAGAGGCTGTTCTGAGTTAAATGCTTTGAAATGGGTGCAGGGAATAATCCCCTTCATGCCCTGTGTTTTCAGAGGGGGGATTAAGTACTGTTCGTGTCTGACTCACTAGAGCCAGGCCTAAGTTATCCTACAAAAAAGGCACTAATTGCTTTCAAAAAACCCTCAACTTCTTCTTACCCCTTCCTTAACCTCCACTCCCGAACTCTCAGCTCTTTCCTTCCTTTGGATTAGAACACAAACAGAATTTGAATGAATTCAGAATGAAGGATAGTAAATCCTCCGTAGCTTGTTGCAGGTAATAGCCCAGAAAGTGCCTGGAAAGTGACTGGGAGGAAAACTGGAGTTGCACTGGATTTTGTGCTTCGGGAAGGCAGGGCTCTCCATTTTGGAAAAGCAAATTGCACTGAGGGGCCCAAAGGCAAATCTGTACTGAGGCAGCGTGAAAAGGACAAAAGTGAGAATTCCCAGGCTGCTTTTCCCAAGCCTAGTTCACTTTGTGCTGGAAATGATTGCAGGAAATCAGCCTACCCCTGCGCCTCAGGGAATGGTGCTGTTGAGGAAGGGTTGTCTGCCTGTCTAGGGATTTGGTTTATTCTATTTTTCACTTTGTTTTCTTGTGTAGCCATTGGTAAGTGATGCTAAACATTTGCTGTGACTGCTGGAAGGTGGAATCATTCCTGAAGCATTTCTGGGTGTGCTGCCATGAGGAGGGGGCTGAGTGGGAGCATTATTGATGGATGAGGCCAGCAGGTGATAGTGGGTGGAAAAGCAGCAATAGAAACAATGATCCATCCTCAGCCCCAGCTGAAACAGCTGATGTGGCTGCCCCAGCCTCCTGGTGGGAGCAGGGGTTTCCTGAACTCTGCCACGTGAGCGTGGATTGCAAGCTGGGAGAGCAGATTTTTGTCCATGAATCACAGCAGGTGCATGAGCAGGTCCCACCTGGAGTTTCAGATCTCTGGGGTGACAGCTGGACCCACCTGCTGCCATCCCACACCTGAGCTCCTGAGCCCCTCCTGCCTGTGCCCTGGGCTCTCCCCTGCAGTTTCAGAGGGGATTTCAGGCTGGCAACCAGGCCTGTCACAAATTGTCCAAAAATGCTGTGTGGCCAGCCAGGGGTGGCTGTTTTGGAAGCAGGGTTTGGGTGTCAGGTTGGTGTGGCAGCTCTGGTTACGCGCTCCGAGGAGAACAAAGCCAGAATTACACCTAACTGCGGCTCCAGTTGCCTTTGAGCTGAATCGACCTAAATTTTTGAATCAACCCAAAATTTCCCTCAGTTGTGGTGCTGCCTGGGAGTGCCAGGAAGGAGGCAGTGGGCAGCAGCCTTGAGGCACGGTGAGGGCAGGCCCCGAGTGCTGGCATGGGATGAGAGGAGCTGGAAAACACGTGGCTGCACCCCGGTGCTGGGCGAGAGCAAACTTCCCTTTTCCAAAACCTGCTTTTTATGGGTCCATTTGTTTCAGAGGGAGACAGGTTTATTGTGGGAGGGTTGCTGAGCTTTGGCAGGCTGCTCCCTAATTTGTGGCTCTAAAGGAAGGCAAGGGGCTTGGTTTGTTTGCAGTGGTGGGGAAAAACTCGAGCCATGCAGGAGATGGGAGGTCAGGGGGTGGAGAGGGGAATGAGCACATGAAGCAGGTCACTGATAACATCCTCATACTCACCCTTGGCACTGCGAGGAGATGATGCAGGCTGTGATCCCTGCACACCAGGCCCTTTGAGAGCCCGGGGATGCAGCACTTGTTTTTCCTCTTCCCAACCACGTTTCAAATCCGTTGTTTGCTCTGGGTGGCAGGAGCAGGTAGGAAGGGGTGAGGGAAATGTAAGCAGCTCCCCGTGGCTTCCTCTGGAGTGGGGGGTCCTTGCTGTGAGCCTGGCTTAGCCAGGCCCTTCTGCTGGGCAGCTGATAACAATTTGAATATTCAGATGTGCTTTCAGGCATCCGCAGGGGGCTCGCAAGCTCTGGGAACCAGGAGCAAGGAAAGCAGCATGGGGAGCCAGGCAAAAAAAAATAAATAGCTGAATAAATATATAAATGGCAACTCACAGCAGCCCTCCCCAGAGGCAGCTGCATCCCCCTTCTCCAGACCTCACATGGGGAGACTGAGGCACTGGAGGGGCTGCTAATTAGGAATAGTGGGTATCTGGAGCTGATCTCCTTCCCCAGCTAGAGGGGAATTAATCCACCTGGCCCTCTTCCTGCAAATACTTGGATTTCTTTTGATGTTTTAACTTTTATCTCACGCCTCCAACAAACTCACTCTTCTCTGGCTTGCAAGAAAATCCCTCTCATCTCGCTGCCACAAAAGGTGCTCTCGTGTACTGCAGGGAGGGTGCAGGCCCTGGGAGAGATCCTGAGGGCTCCTCAGCAGAGATGGGCAGGAATTCCTCAATGGAGTAGCTTTTTGTCACTGGTGGGAAGTGGGAAATGGCCATTTGTTGTAAACTGACATCCTGAGGGTAGGGCACAAAACAGCCTGGGAAGTAATGCTTCCTTCTGCCATTCTCTGTATCCTCAGCTCCCTCCCTCCCAGGGGTGTGTCTGGGTTGTTGGGAGCATCCCTCACTTCCTTGTTCAGCACTAAAACAGCTCGTGGAAGGTGCTAATCTTCCCTGAGATGCTCCCACTGTCCACCAGCAGAGCACTGCTGGGCTCCCGAGGCACTGGGTGCCCTTGTGTGGTTCTGTGGGTGTCCTCAGGGCTGGTTCCTGCTGTGGGGCTCCCCTGGGAGATGCTCAGTGTGCCCTCAGCTCCATGGACTGCATGGAGGTGTGCAAGGAGCAGGGCAAGGCAGAGATTCTGCTCATGTCACCCGCTCTCAGTGGTCACACTTAGGCAGCTTTTGCTATTAGTGCCCCTTCGTGCATTTAATTGGCCACTTTTTCTGATAGGAGGGAGGTCATTCAGGGAAAATTGGAAATTCATCTCTGGCAGCTTCTGAGCTTGCTTTTCATGTGCTCTGCTGGGCTGTGCTCTGGGAAGGGGGCTATGCTCAGAGCAAGGCTCCAAAAGCATCAGTAGGTCAGTGTCCTTGCTGCTTTGCTGGCCAGGTCTTGGGAGAGGAGGAGTTTTCCCAGTTCCCAGTTGGAGCTGCCTTACTGGGAAAAGCCTTCTGTGTGGGAGAGGCACCCAGGCTGTGCCCCCAGCCTGAGGCAGTGAAATCCCAGTGTGACCCCCTGTGTGGCGTGTGCACCTTCAGCCAGCAGAAGGAACTTTCCCTCTGTGTGCTGCACGGGGCCATCCTAGGGGCACATTCCCACTCCCATCATGTGCACATGGATTTTGTAAATATATCTTGGTTTGGAAAGGCAGGAGTCTGCTAAGGAAGGCAGCAGCCTCCCCTGAAATGGAGAATGTAAACCCTCCCCACCCCTCCCTATTGCTATGAATTTTAAATTAAGGGGCTCTCAGACAAAAATATGGGAGCAGGAAATAACAGTTCTTTAATAGGGAAGAAAATAAAAGGATTAAATAAACAATGCCTAACAACACTGACAGAGTCGGAACCCAACCTGACACCCTGTGGGTCAGGGTGTTGGTGGCAGTCCCATTGGAAATGTGGCTGCAGCCCTCCTGCAGTGTCAGGGGTGTCTCTGTTGGAGCAGGGGGATCAGTAGAGAAGGATGTATTCTTCCTCTGAAGATCCAGTGGGAGAAGAGACAGCTGCTGTTCCTCTGGGGAATCCCATGGAGAAAGCCGTGCCGGTGTCTCAAAACCTCTGGATTATATCTGGGTAGCAATGCTTGGCTCCTCCCTCTGGATTATATCTGGGTAGCAATGCTTGGCTCCTCCCCCTGGGCGGAGCATCTCCCAATGGGATGTTACAGTTCTTATCAGCCATGCAGTGACATTCAATAGTCTGTTATCAGCAATGTCCCCTCCCGAGGGAGGTGTGAATGTGGTCACTCAAAGAGAGAGATAAGGCAAACTGCCCACTTGACAAAGGTAATCTGCCATACAGATTGTAATGGAAAACGTCTTGCATTGCAATCTTCAACAGAATAAAACACCAGCCTTGCTCTTTCCTTTCCCAGGGACCCAACAGCGTTTTTGAGGTTTACCTGGTGGGCAACAACTCCAACCACTTCATCATCTCACCCACCTCCATCCAGGGGAAGGCGGACATCCGTGTGCGCGTGGCGGTGCCGCTGGACTTCGAGACCATTCCCCGCTATGAATTCTCGGTGAGGCTGCACTCCTGGGCTCTGTGGGACAGCCACAGCTTCCAGCATGACCTAAAAATGACCATTCAACCTCTTCCTCTCTCTTTTCCAGTAGCTGAAGAGGGCATAGGAAAAAGAGGGAGCAAACATTTCAGCAGGGACTGTTGCCATAAGGACAAGCGGGGATGGCTTTGGATGGTTGATTTAAATTAGCTGTAAGGAAGATTTTTTCCATGGGGGTGGTGAAACACTGGAACAGGATACCCAGAGAGGTGGATGTCCCATTGCTGGAAATTTAGGGTCAGGTTGGATGGTTTTAGTGGAAGATATTCCTGCCCGTGGCAGGAGGTTGGGCTAGGTGGCCTTTAAATGTTCCTCCCAACCCAAACCATTCTATCACAATCCCCACTGTGAAACAGTGGAGCACTACAAAAGAGCCAAAAAATCGGAAATTATAATAAAGAAGGAGGTGGGGAAGAGATTGGCTCTGCACTTTCTCTTCCAACATCCAAAGGCTCAGCTGCAAGAGCTTAAGCAGAGCAGGGCCATAAAAGCTTTATAGAGCATAAAACTTTGTTTTAAGAGCACCTATCAGGTGCCAAAACCCTCCCCATCCTCCTGGCCCAGCTCTGCTGGTGGCTTGCCTTGAGCTGGCTCAGCTGGTGAGGGAGCTGAGGAGAGCCTCGTTTACTCCACTAAAGAGGGATGGGTAACTCTCCCAAGCTTCCCAATGTCTCCAACCCTGCCTTCCCATTTTGCCCAGCTCTTTGCCAATGAGAGTGTCCCGGACCACGTCGGCTTTGCGCGGGTGAAAATCAGCCTGATCAACGAGAACGACAACCGGCCCATATTCAGCAAGGCCCTCTACAACGTCAGCCTCCTGGAGAACACCACTGTGGGCACCACTGTCCTCCAGGTCCACGTGAGTAGGAGCATCCCAGCTCCCTCTGCTGAGCGTCTGTGTTGGCTTTGTGGTGTCCCTCACCAAGGGCTAGCCCGGGAAGGGAGCATCAGGAGATGCTGGTGGAGGGGCTTACGTGAAGTCTTCCTGAAAAGCTCTGATAACCAAAATCACTAAAGCCCAACCAAACCAAAGCAACCATTTTTAATGCAACAATGCATTTGATTTGCGTTGAAGTGTCTGCAGAAAAATGGTTCTCCATGGAAAGTAATTCTAGCTCTGTGATCCCTCCTCTCCACTTTATTTGCCCCAGAAGTTGGAAGGTTGGTGGGGTGTAGACTTCTCATGTGTTTTTGGGGCAGATGTCCTGACCTTTCCTGTTCTCTGGAAGATGTGTGTGTGTTTCCTGCCACACCAGGAACTCAAGGAGAGAAATGCACTGCATTTCATCTGCAGACACCCATCCCCAGTGGTCATGGTGGCCCTGGTGTGGCTTTTCTCACTGCCCTCTTTGGAAGCATCATCTTCCTCAACCCAAATGATGTCAGTTGTGCCATTAAGAGGGCAAAGGATGGAAAAGGAGGGGAATGGCTCTGTTTAGCAGAGCATGGTATCAAATGGCTGGCAGCAGAACAGAGACAGGCAGAGGTGTGCTGATAGCAGGGGGCATTTCCATGGGGCTCATTTCCTCTTCCATGGGTTGGTTGGAATCCTTATGGAGAAGACACATTTCCTGGTGCAAGAACCACAACAAAACCCTGTGCTGAAATACCATTGGAAAAGGCATCAAAGCTCCTCTGGGATGAGGAATATCACAGCAGGGAGCACGAAACCCCCTGCTACACTTTGGGTGTGTTACTGCCACTACCATTAGTCGTGAATGAGTTTGGCTGGCTCCCTCTCCAATGCATTTGCTCCAGCTGCCCTCCTGCCCTCTCCTTGTCCCCCTGCTCTCCCCAGGCACAGCCCCTGGTCCCCCATCCATGCAGGAATGCCCACTCAGAGGTTAAAAGCCCGGACAAAAGAGTGGGGTGCGTGTGCCTGTGTGTAAGTGTGTTTACTTTACAAACAGATGGTGTGAAACTGTATAGAGCCCCCGAGCTGTTCCCATCTGACAGTTATTAATATTTCAAGCAGATGTTTAGCTAGTCAGGCCGTCAGACACTAAACAATGAGATTGTTACTGCGTCTCCTCTTTCCCCAGCTAACTTCCAGCTATGCCAGCATTTCAGAGCGAACACAAAATGCCAGGAGTTGAGTCTTCTATGGTAAATCAGAATGGATGCAATTAGCACTGAAATCCAAATTGCCCTCCCAGCTGATCCCAAACTTTTAACAACCCTCATAAAGTACCAGCTCCTCCTGCTGTGGCCGCTTGCCTTTGAGCTGCAGCCCTCTGGTCGCTGCCCAGCTCTCCACCTGTCCCACATGCTGCAGACAAAAAGCCTGCTTTCCTGGCTAATAAATCCCTCCTCTCCTTTTCTTCCTTCTTTTCCACTTGCTCAGGAATATTCCTGGCTATTCACACACAAGGGTTAGTGTGACAGTATTCACAGGGGTCTGAGGATGAGGGAAGAGATGAGGATCTGACTCCATGTTTCAGAAGGCTGATTTATTATTTTATGATATATATTACATTAAAACTATACTAAAAGAATAGAAGAAAGGATTTCATTAGAAGGCTAGCTAAGAATTTAAAAAGAAAGAATGATAACAAAGGTTTGTGTGTTGGACAGAGAGTCCGAGCCAGCTGACTGTGATTGGCCATTAATTAGAAACAACCAATATGAGACCAATCCCAGATGTACCTGTTGCATTCCACAGCAGCAGATAATCAATGTTTACCTTTTGCTCCTGAAGCCTGTCAGCTTCTCAAGAGGAAAAATCCTAAGGAAAGGGATTTCCATAAAAGATGTCTGTGACAGGTTATTGGAGAAAGCCTGGCCAGCCACATGCCATGCCCACTTCTTTGGTGGCTGCTGGATTACATCCTCATGAAGGGGGTCTTCTGTTGGCTCCTCTCTTTTTGTGTTCCTTTGTGCAAAAAGTCTCAGTTTGGATAGATAGTGGGGTTCCAGGTGCTAAAAATAAACGAGGTGGCTTGTGGGGTGAAGGAAATGGATGAGCAGGGTTGAAGAGGGGAGTGTGTGGGCTGGGTGGCACAAGGCTTGGTGCCAGCTGCTGTTTGTTTGCCCATCCTCCAGTGAGTGCATCCTGGCTATCCCACCTTGGCTGTGGCTGGGAAAGGAGGGGAAAGGCTCTCCTCAATGCCACCCTCTCCAGGCTGCCCTCAGCGTGGCCAGCTGAAAGGGAAAGGCAGAAGGAAAGAGCAAGCAGACTTCATTTGCTGTGACAAATGGCCGTTTGTTTCTACAGCACTTCAGCTCCTCGTGTCAGTGACAGCAGAGAAACATTGCCTGTTACACCTATAAATCAACTGTAAAACAACCCCAAGTGCAGGCAGAGCTCCCTGCCTCCTTCCCCTCCTTCCCTTTGCCCAGGGAGCAGTGGGATCAGATCCATGAATTCCTGGTCAAACCTCAGCCCCCTCCCTAGCACGGCACAACCTTTTCCAACCTCTAAGACTTCGTTTGCTCTCTGCTTAGCATTCCCCCCATCTCCCTGTCCATCCATCCATCTGTTTAATTCTGTGCCTGAAAGGCATTTATTGTTTAGGCTCAGGTGGTCATTTGCTTGCTCAAGAACATCTGGAGAGGCCAGGCTCCTTGGGAACAGCTCCTGCCCTGTACAGGGAGCTCACAATGTGCCCAAAGGCAGCTTTCTCTCCTGCCTCCATGCTCTTGGACCTGGGAAAGGGGTCCAGCCTGGAGAAAAGGAGGCTCAGGGAGGCTCCTCTGGCTCTGCACAGCTCCCTGACAGGAGGGTGCAGCCAGGTGGGGTTGAGTTCTCTTCCCAGTTAACCAGTGACAGGACAAGAGGAAACAGCCTCAAGTTGTGTCCGGGGAGGTTTACATTGGATATTAGAAGTTTCTTCAGTGGCAAGGGTGGTCAGGCATTGGAACAGGCTGCCCAGGGAAGTGGTGGAGTCACCATCCTTGGAAGAGTTCAAAGAACACATAAATATTGGTTGTGGGTGCGTGGTGAACTTGGCAGTGCTGGGTTCGTGGTTGGACTTGATGATCTCAGGGGCCATTTCCAGCCTGAATGATTCCATGACTCTTAACACATGTGATAAGTCCCTTAGGCCACACATTCCTGGTTTTGCAGTGCGGAGGGCTCCTTACCCCAGCCAAAGCTTCCAGGCCACATAAATTGTGGATGTTTGAGGAGTTACATGTCCATTGCATGTCTGTGACCACTGAAGGACAAGCAGCCTGTCCAGGGCTCTGCAGTTGTTATAAGCCTCTCTCAGTGCAAACATCATTTTTCCCCAGGAAAAGGCAGGCTGGAAAGGCTTGGAGGTCCCACACAGCAGCAAACACCTTCTGAGAAGCAGGAGCAAAGCAGGGAGGTGAGCAGAGCTCATCCTGAAGAGATGGACCAGTTCTGCCCCAGTACCAGCAGATATTGAAATACAATTTTTTTTTTTTTCTGAAACAACTGGCCATGAAGCCTTTTAATAACATAACAGAAAAGGTCAGGGAAGGAATTTCACACTTCTTGAGCAAGGAGGCAGCCAGTATAACTTCATGCCTTCCAGGAACGAGGCAGAGAGAGCACACACTGCACCCTGCATTAACTGGGGCACTGACAGTCCCACCAGGTCCTGCCTGCCTGGTGGCTTTGATGGGTGCTGCCTTTCCTGACAGGATCAGGCTGGAAGGATGGAGCCTGGAGAGGTGGTGAGGTGTGGTGCCTGCTCTGGCAGAGGATGTGGGGCTCTGAGATGGGAAACTCTGGGGATGGACCATGCTGGGGGGATGAATGGGATGGGAAACTCTGGGGATGGACCATGATGGGGGGATGAATGTGCCCAGCCCATGATCAGAGTCATAGAATGCTTCAGGTTGGCAGGAACCTTAAAGCTCATTTAATTCTGCTGGAGCTCCCCTGAGGAGCTCTTCTGCAGCCTGGCCAGGGGGAGAGCAGGAGGGAGATTTCAGCTGGCAAGGTTTTTTTAGCTGGAAGAAGCTAGATAAACATGGCCTTGCTTCTGAGGTCACCAACAGCCAGCCCAGCTTCCAGTGAGCTCCCTCAGCAGGGAGAGGAGAGGGTAATTCAGCCCAGCATCCTCTCCTGTCCCTGGGGTGGTGCATGGATGGGAAAGCTCAGGGAAAGTGTGAGCCTGTGTCACACCAAGCCTGTGGCATCTCGGGGTCCTGCCTCACTGCAGAGCTGCAGAGCAGAGAGCACAGTGCCCCTCCAAACCTGCCTTTGGACAATGCTGCTTTGCCAGCAGCTGCCAGGGGCCTCCCAGAGCTGTGCTCCAGCTGCTGATGGATTTGCCAGACCTGGAGAATGGGGAAGGGGGCTAAGGCAACCCAGCAGGAGGCAGGAATTAAGGGGCGGGAGATCTCCTTAAGCTCCTCGTACTCCACAGATCTGCACAGCAAAGTCCTCCTGAAAAGCTCTGATAACCAAAATCATTAAAGCCCAAACAAACCAAGAGTAACTTGTTTTTAACACAACAATGCATTTGATTTGCCTTGAAGTGTCGGGAGAAAAATGGTTCTCCAGGGAAGTGTGGAAAGTAATCCTAGCTCCGTGATCCCTCCTCTCTGCTTTATTTGCCCCGGTCTGGCTTGGCTGCACAGGCTGGGATCGCTGGCTGTGGGCTCCATCAGCTGGCTGCCAAGCAGCACAGAGCTGGGGGGAGCTGCTGACCCCCTCCCTGCTCTCCTGCTGGAGCCCTGGATGCTGGGAATGTCAGACTTTCTGTGCTGACAGGCACTGACCCCCAGAGAACACTGCGTCTGATATGAGGCCGTGGAGAAGCTTCCAAAATGGAATGACAGAACTGGGATTGTGGGTGTGGAGTTTGGACAGAACTGTGTGATATCACAGGGTGGAATACTAGAGTTTAAGGGTTTAGAATATTGTAATATATATATATAAAGGAA